CCTTGATATGGCCGTATTCTTTTTGCCTGATCTTCTTAGAGTTTGATTAGGCAATATACCAGGTTTACGCTAATCCTGCGTTCAAGTCTCCTGTTAATTAGATTTGTTTTAGTCAAGGTATTGATGGCTCTCAGATCTTGCGTTTCTCGTATTTTCACTATATGCAGTCGTCCTTTCTGTCGATTCCAAGTCGATTAAGTGTCCTGTGTGTGCAATGTATTCCGCTAGTTCGAATCTTTTCATATCCATGCTTCTGCATAATCTGATGTTCATTGATTGAAGGCTGATTTTTTTTCCTGCTTCACAAATATACATCTTCTCACAGTTGCCCCATTGATTCGATAAACTCTTGAGCAATCGTTTGTCAACCTTCTCGTGTTGTGCCGGCAGGCTAGTAAAGCGTGTTGCCTTTTCCTGTGTTATTACCTTGATATTACATTTTTCTAATAAAGGTCGCAATTTTAAATCAGTTCAAAAGACAGCAGGCATATACATTTTTGGTCGAACTCCCGAATCCTGATCTTGTTTTCATTAAATCCAAGTTAAAAGCTGCTCTTAAAGGCCCCTGTATTTCTTACAAGTGTTTCTCCTGAGTACCGGTTAACAAGAGAAATCCGAGTCACGTTACCCAAATCCTCGTCCCAGAACTCAGTGCCCGTTAGTCTTAAGCTTCTAATAATCAAGCTCAGTATTCCGTCCTTCAGTGTGCAGTTGTGATGAGACTGATAATTGAAGATTATTCTCGCATATGATTTCTTTCTGAATAATTTTCACTTGAGTTTCCAGTTTGAGCGAATGACCTCAACATCCAGGAAAAGTAGTCGCTCATTCTCCTCAGCCTCCATTGTGAATTTAATTCGTTCACCAAGTTGGTTCATAAAGACCTAGAGGAGCGCACCTTGTCCGGAGTCCATAGAATGCATGATAATTTCCAGAATCAGATCATAAACTTGGTACATTTTCAGGCGTTTCGCAAACATCGTCAGTAAGCCATGCCACTCTTAGCGCCACACTACATTGTGTCAGAGACAAAGTAGATCATTTGACCAATCGTCTGCTAAATAGTTCTGGTATTTCTCCTTCTGACCTGGGATACTCACCTATATTATATCCTCGTATCACTCATTCAATATCACAATTTCTTACCTATTTTTCTAGGCCTATTTGCAACCTATTCATACTCCCAGCTGGGTCCCAACATCTCCCCCACTGTGCCAGGAGTGTTGATCCAAGGCTGCGTTTTAGTACACAATCCTCTTACTTCAGATCCTATCAGAGTCACTTTCTTACCCCATAGGATCCTTTCCTTATCTGTATGGTTAAGTGATTTCACTCCATTGCTGCCACCGCATATGCGCTATTTGAGGTGTTATGCCCTACACTGTGCCTCAGGCTTTCGATAGTACGTATACGCCAGCCTTCACGAACAAGCCCCTAAAGTCTGGAAATCAATTGGCATAGGGACCTAACTTGACGCTGCAGATTTCCTTATCACTGTGCCACATTTGCACGCAGTAAATATCGTGGATATTTCCGTATTTATGTTTATGCAAAGTCTTTGATGTCCTTTAATTCATAGGCCCATTTTTCTTCCTGTTTTATCAATATACTTCCGCTCATAGTTGCCGTATTTTATTCGATAAACTTCAGAGTAATCCGATTCATCAACCTTTCTGTGTTGCGTTGGCAGGCTGAAGAGGAGTCTTGTCTTTTGTTATCCCCTTGATATTCCATTGTATCAATAAAGGTTGTAATTTTTGGCTCAGTTCACAAGAGGGGCCAGCATATCCTTTGGTCGCCATCTCGATTCCTGATTTTATTTTCATAATATCCAAATTGAAATCTGTTTCTTATGATCCTTATATTTCTCTCTATGAATTTACCGTGGTACCCATTACTAAGAAAAATCCGAGTCAATTTGTTAAATGTTCGGCAATATCCACCACATTTGCCGATTAATTTATTCTTAATTTTATCTTGCGTGTCTATAAACACAAACGCGATAATGAAAGATTCTTATTCTCTCTTTTTCTCTTGCCTCTATAATTTAGTAACTAAGTGTCTGAAAGGGATTTCTACCTTTGGGACACTAGAGGGAAATAAATAGTGTCCTCCCAATGATAGAGGGCAATTTAACCCACGTAACATATTTTCGAAAGGTCTGATTATAATTAGAGTTGCCTCCTTGCTTAAAATTCACTGGGCTGGACAGCACTATATTTCTGGCTTGTCATATAAGCTGTGCGGCAAATTTTCAACGAGAAGTTATTCCACCACTTTATCTAGGCCATCAGAGCTTAGGTTCTCACAAGCAGTTATGGACATTAAAGAGCTTGCACTACATAGGAAAAAGGAAATCAGCATCAGTAGGTTTCGAAGCTATCGGCAGATCTTGAATAAGAGCAGCATCACCATTGGGTCGCATACGGTGATTAAGAACTGAGAGTCAAATTTTCCCATAACAATATGAGTAGGCCTGATATTTCCATTGATTTTTACACAGCCTTACTTCCAGAAAAAGTATTCTAATTTAAAGTGGAGGTCGGTTTATACCTCGCTTGGGTTTTATCAGAACCCCCAGCGAGAATATAGACTTAAGGGAGGTCGAAACAGCAGTCCATCTTGGATGAGAATATACTTTAGGAAGTAAGGCTAGGTGAAATTCATGAAAACAATGAGGCCTACTCATATTATTTTGGGGAAATTCAACTAGCAGTCCTTCATCACCTTATGCGACCTTGAGAGAATACAGCTCTTAATAAATTCATTCAGCGCTAAGACAAAAAACATGAACGTTTTAGTATAATTGACTACATTACTTATTTATATAATAATATATATGACTACTGTCCCCTTCATAAAACAGGCTCATGGCTTACTACGTCTGGCTGGATGCTTGAGGATTTGGTGTATATGGATGCGGCTGAGTTGGACATTGAAGTGGAGTTGGCTGACATCTGCAGTCTGGCTAACTCGGTGTGCATGTCGGATAACTCACGCACCAACTGATCCAAGGCACATTTGAGTCGGTCCTTTTCGGCCCTCTCCTCTTCGTAGAGGCGACGATAATCGATGCCAGTCTGAGGTAAGAGAGTC